CTATGTTTAAATATATTTTTATCTATGTTTTGAGTATTTAGAAATAATATCTAGAAATATATTATATTAAATTTTAAAAACTAATTTATTTCCGATTTATCACCGATTAATCACCGCCGCACCGATTAATCGTGAGTTGGTCCCTAACCGCCTCCGACCCGATTACCGCTTTTTACAACCTTGCTCCTCCCCCCAAATGCCTCCTACCAAAACCCTAGCCGCTGCTAACCACCGAAGGTTCCGCGCTCACAGATGAAAAAATTTATAGAAATGAATCTGACAGTATTAAAATGAAAGAAATTACCATCAAAATATAGATCTCGGCGAGAGGAATCCAACGGTGAGTTGCCCGTCAAATTCCGACTGGCGAAACACAATTACACCTCCGACAAGACCCACTGTCGTTGAAATACGCATAGACTAAAAAAAAATTCAGAAACTGATTCACCGCTCCAAACTGAATGAAATCACCATCAAAAGAAAGAGCTCGGTGAGATGAATTCAAGGGTAGTTAATCATTGAATTCCGACCACCGGAGAGAGAGTTATGACTTCGGGAAGCAACATCGCTGGTTAGAGACCTTGGGAGGGGGGGGATTTGGATCTGGGAGTTAAGAGAGGAAGATAGAGACCGATATGAGTTGGGTAGGGTTTAAAACTGATTTAAAAAGGTATTCTGGGTACTTCAAATCTATTGAGGCGGTATGCCAAATTATTATTCAAATGGAGGGGGTTTGCATTAGGATGTAAACACTATGGTGGTTTGTTATACATATTTTCAATGTGAAGGAGTCTCCAAAATAATCCTTTTAAGAAATTAGATATAACAACTCGTCAGCTCTTAAATATTTTATCACATGTAAGAGCTTATTAAATATTCAAAATAAGCTTAAATAGCGACTAGACGGGCTCTATGCGTATGGTCATGGGCTTATTATGTGATTCCCCTGAAAATACATTCATTTGGCTCCTTAAATTTATCAATATGGACGGCAATTGGATGGGTATGAAGCGTGTTTCGTAAACCTCATCCCGTCCCGCTTTGAAATCTCTCATCCTCGTCCCGTCAAAATCCACAGATTTTATGAGTTGGGTATCCTCGAACCCGCCCCGCAAAATCCCCCCAGGTATCACCCCACACAATCCCCGATTTTCCTTTTTAGTCGAAAAATGCAATCTTCATTTTTATTTTTTCTAAATTCTGAACGAAGCTACTTATAATATAATGACTTACCTCAACAAACAAACCTACAAAGTGCATATTTTACTTCAAATCTCATATAATTTATCACTACAAATTAAACATCTTTGAACTAAAATACACATCACATTTTAACATAACTAATTGAAAAACTAAACTACTTTATTTCTAATAATCAACCAAAATATCTTCATCACCATCATCATTTTCATGACCATTATCATCTTAACCATCAAAAATCACTTTATCAATTACGATTAGTGAAGACGAGCCTACAACAACAAAAATAAAGTGAATTTCATGTACAAATTAAATTTAATATAAACATAAATAAAAAAAAAATATAGACTTTAAGGGGCTAGGGTTAGTAATATTTTATTATTTATCTTTTAAAATTATAACTAATTAATATATATATATATATATATATATATATATATATATATATATATATATATATATATATATATATATATATATATATATATATTGCGGGGCGGAACATACAAACCCTCCCTATTCTTGTACCCGGTTAAAATGTAATATTTATTGTAATAATTATTTAATTACTTAGTGACTAAGTTTTGTAATATATATCTAGTAATTGTTTGATAAGGCTTGCTACTACTTGGAGTGCAAGTCTGCTACGTGTTAATAGTTTAGCATGACAAGGCTTTTCCCATTTTTGTATAAATAGGGCCATTTTGCCTAATTGAATACATAACTTTGATTAGAAAAGAAATCTCTCACCTCTCGTATTTATATTCTGTAATTCCATTTTACATTTCAATAGCAGATTTCTCGGTCATTCACTATTCCCTTCCCATATATTATAGGGGAAATATGCAATACCCCCCTCAAATGAAAAATATTATGAGTAAAACCCAATTGACTTTTAAGACTTTTGCACAAACCCACATCCCAAACTTAATTAGTGAAACCCCCTCAATTAAACATAATAAGACATACGTACCCTTATTAATAGTTTTTTATAATAAATCAAATATTTAATCACGATATCTTTCTATAACCGTTTCCCTTTATTATAGGCGGACGTGATTCTCTTTGATATAATTACGTGAGTTCAGCCGAGTTTAGGAGAGAATAGAGATTTCATCGGCGTTCAACCATTCTTTGTTCGTTGCCGGAGTTAGACTGCGTTTGAAGGTTAGAGATTCTGATTTATTTTTGTTGGTTTTCGTAAATGGGAAACTGCGTTTGAAGGTTAGAGATGCTGCTTTATTTTTGTTGGTTTTCGTAAAGGGGGTTGGGCTGTAGTGTGTATTCAGATATGTGTGTATGTAGAACCGAATTTTATTGTTTATTTTTGGGTCGTCTTAATTGGTGTAAACGATTGTTACTGATTCAAAATTTTATTCCGTTTTACACAGAGTCACGTTGTGACTACTCTGTAAATTAATTGTTCGTTTTGTGTTAATGGATATGCTAGTGTAATTTATTGTAATTTGTTTTTTGCGTTACTTGATATGTTAGTGTAAGTTTCAATGTGTTTGTTGTGATCGAATTGAATTCAGATAATATTATGTGATTTGCATTTACAGAGTAGTGCAGATTTATTCATCAGACGTAGTCACATAGTAGTCACATTCTCAAATTTTTTGTCTTCACTTTTAGAGATTTTCCATTTAAAATTTGTAAGGATCATTTGTGTTTGATTTTGATATTCGAATTGTTGTTAATCAGTCAATTTGTTTTTTGAAAAGATGCAGTTTGAGCATGAGAATGCAGTTGCTGCAACATGACTATAGTCATATTCGAATATGACTATACTCGTATTTATGTATGTAGTTATTCGAATTGTAATTTTTTATTTTTTTTTTATTTTTGTTACTTGATATGTTAGTGTAAGTTTCAATGTGTTTGTTGTGGCTGAACTGAATTCACGTAATATTATGTGAATTGCATTTACAGAATAGTGCAGATTCATTCAGCAGAATTATTCACACAATAGTCACATTCTCATGTTTTTTTGTAGTGTTGCACATCATGTCGTCAACCTTGATGATTGTGTTGAAGTATGGAGGGTCGTTTGGGGTGAAGATATGCCAGGGTGATTTTGGGGATGAAGACCTCGTCGACTCCTGTCCCTCTCTCTCGTTATTTTTCTATCTTTATTTATGTTTTTCGATTTTTTTTTTCCAAATCTGAACAGCAGTAGTAACATGACTATAGTGATATTCGAATATGACTATAGTCATATTTATGTTTTTTTCGAATATGAGTGTAGTCATATTCGAATACGACTATTGTTGAATATGTTCTATCTTCTCGTTTTCAAGTTGACTTATAATCACAAGATTCAAATTGTGATTTTTTGTGTGGATGTTGATTGAGTTGTTTTCGTAAATAATAGGGAATCTTCGTTGTTTTATATGATTTGGTTACTTATATGATTTGGTTAACATGACTATGCCATATAATCGGAACTTTTAAGTTCAAAATATAAAAAACAACAATATAACGAAAGAATATGACTACAGTTTATAGTCACATATAGTCATATTCAACCATAGTCATATTCGGCGTTGCAAACCTGTTGAGAGAAAATTTTCGATTTTTTGTTTAAAAAAAGTTTTAAAAATTTAAAATAATATTTTTATTAAAAAATATTAAAATTAAAAATAAATTTAAAATGACTAAATAAAGTCCCAAAATAATATTAAAATAAAAAATAAAAATAATAAAATCCGATTATTTTATTTTTTTGATTTCGTAGCAATTTTTTAGGAATTTGGAAGCAAATTTTTGGGAATTAAATTGTTATGGAAAGAGAGAAAAAAGGAATAATTGAGATAAATTAGGAAAAATATATAATTAAGCCTAAGTAGTGGGATTAGGTGCCTCATTAATAGGGATTTCGAAATTACTTGGATAATTATAAAAAAAAAACGTGATACACTACTAGAGGGGTAAGATTGGAAATAAATATTATAGGGGGTTTTCACAAAGAAAGAATTATGGTATGGACATATCACTAGTTTTTATCTAAATGAGGGGTGTATTGCTAATGACCCCTATATTATAATAGTGCAGTTCTTATATTATATAATTTATTCTACAACACGTTATCAGCACGAGATTTTGCTCGATAGGGATTTGCTATTTTCGTATTCTTCTTTCTATTTTATTTTACGAAAATCCAGATCCTCAATCTATTGTCGAAAAGACAAACGAGAACGATTAGCGAATACTTCGGTATTTTATACGCTATCATTTCTCAAAGGATATGATGGATTCGTGTATATTAATCTATTGCTTATTTATTTGTTGAATTACTGCTGAAATTTATATTTGCAAGCTTGTGGATCCCAAGCAGTGTTATAAGAACGTGCTATATATCAACAGATCTGTGGGCCGACTTAGAGGCCAAGATATAAACTCCGAGCCTGATGCTCGTGGAGTTGGAGAAATAATAATCTCCGTTTAAAGCTGATTTAGAGGCTATCGTTTTAACTCTGGGCATAGTACCCGTAGAGCTTAACATAGACCGTATTGAGGTCTTATTATAACTCCGAGCAGAAAAACTCGTTGAGTCAAGACGTTGGAATTTCCGTCAAGTAAATGAAATTTAGCTCCGAGTCTAAACTCGTTGAGCCAAGAAAGCCGATTTAGAGGCTAAATCGTTAATATAACTCCGAGTCTGAGCTCGTTGAGAAAAGAAAGCCGATTTAAAGGCTAAATCTTTAATATCGATCCGAGTCTAAGCTCGTTGAGAAAAGAAAGCCGATTTAGAGGCTAAATCACAAGATATAAACTCTGAGCCTGAAGCTCGTTGAGTCAAGACGTGATAATATCCGTCAAAAGCCGATTTAAAGGCCAAATATCTGAAAACAACTCCGAGCCTGAAGCTCGTAGAGTCATTAGACGAGGTAAAACCCGTCAAGAGCCAACTTAGAGGCTATTGATCACAAGTCCAAATTGAAACGGTTTTGGGTTATTTTGTACCCACTATATATAAATCTCTCTTGGAAGGTGTGATTCCCAAGATTGAGTTGTTTTGAATAAACCCACATGTACATATCTCCCTTGGAGGATAAATACCCGAGGTCGAGCTGATTTTGATACACGTACATGAAAAATATGGACAAATATGATTATTGCCTACTCGATAGTGCAACTACACACTCAATATTCAATAATAAAATATATTTCTCGAGTGTGACTTTGTGCAAGGCACAAGTTAAAACCATAGCAGGTTCCGCGGAAATAATAGATGGCTCCGGGAACGCAACAATTGTGTTGCCTAATGGTACCACTTTGCATATTGAAAATGCACTGATATCCGGTAGATCGAACAAGAATCTACTGAGTTTTAAAGATGTGAGACGCAATGGGTATCATTTAGAGACACTGGTTGAAAATACTGTGGAGTGTCTATGCGTCACATCATATGTCATGGACAAAAGAATTGTTCATGAGAAGTTCGAAGCGACAGCTTCTGGACTGTATTGTGTCCAAATTCGAGCTTTCGAATCCTACGCCACTATGCCATGGAAACTTGTTAATCCTGATATACACGGGTTATGGCATGATCGACTGGGTCACCCAGGAACGACTATGATGCGTAGGATTGCACAACATACTAAAGGACATCCATTAAAAGATACAAAAATCTTGATGTCCAATGAATATTTCTGTGAATCATGTTCACAAGGAAAGCTCATTATAAAACCTTCCATTGAAAAGGTCGGTTATGAATCACCATCGTTTTTACAACGTATTCATGGTGATATTTGTGGACCAATACACCCTGCAAGTGGGCCATTTAGATATTTTATGGTTTTGGTGGACGCATCTTGTAGATGGTCCCACGTATGCTTATTATCTACGCGAAATGTTGCATTTGCGCGTTTGCTAGCACAAATTATTAAACTCCGAGCACATTTCCCTGATTATCCCATCAAAAATATAAGGATGGATAATGCCGTAGAATTTACATCAAAAACTTTTGATGAGTATTGTGCAGCACTGGGAATAAATGTCGAGCACCCAGTAGCGTACGTTCACACTCAAAATGGACTGGCGGAATCTTTGATTAAACGCGTCCAAATAATTGCTCGTACTTTGCTGATGAGATCTAAACTCACTAGTGCAGCATGGGGCCATGCAGTATTGCATGCATCAGCACTGATTAAATTACGCCCAACTGCTTATCATATGCATTCCCCAATGCAATTGGCATTAGGCTTTGAGCCCGATATTTCGCACCTTCGCACATTTGGTTGCGCTGTGCATGTGCCAATTCCTCCTTCTCAGAGGACTAAAATGGGTCCCCAACGCCGACTTGGCATATACGTTGGGTTTGATTCACCGTCGATTATTAGGTTCTTGGAACCAATGACAGGTGATTTATTTACCGCTAGATTTGCGGATTGTCATTTTGATGAGACATTATTTATACCGATTGGTAAGGATATTCAGAATATCCGTGATAATGATAAACAAAAACCAATCGAGAATCTCACTTGGTGTGAGCAACATTTATCTCATCTCGACCCACGTACCTCTGAATGTGAAAATGAGATCCATAGAATCATTCATTTACAAAATATTGCCAATAGAATTCCTGATGCATTTAATGATGTCAGTAAAGTTACGAAGTCTTATATTCCAGCTGTGAATGTTCCAGCTAGGATCGCTGTTCCTGAAGAACATGTGAAAATGAATGATGATCCCCCACGACAAAAACGAGGTAGACCAATTGGATCAAAGGACGTTGTTCCTAGAAAAAGAAAGGGGAAAATTGATGAACCTTCGAACCAAGTGGTTCCTAGTGAGAATGCTCCAAATGAATCTGTTGAGCCTGATATAGAAAAAAGCGATATCAAATCCCGGGAATACCGAGAATCCCATAAGTTTTTGCAATGAAATATGGGATAGAAATGAGATAATCATCGATAATATTTTTGCATTCTCGGTTGCACAAGAAATAATGTACGATGATTATGATAGTGAACCGCGTTCCATAATGGAATGCCGCCAAAGAAATGATTGGCCTAAATGGGAGGAAGCAATAAAATGTGAATTGGCTTCCCTAGAAAAACGGAAAGTATTTGGGCAAATCGTTCAAACTCTGGATAATGTAAAGCCCGTTGGGTATAAATGGGTATTTGTCCGTAAGAGGAACGAGAACAATGAAATTGTAAGATATAAAGCCCGCCTTGTAGCTCAAGGTTTCTCCCAGCGGCCTAGGATTGATTATGATGAGACGTATTCACCAGTGATGGATACGATCACTTTCCGTTTTCTTATCAATATGGTCGTCCAAGAGGGACTGGACCTGCGTCTAATGGACGTTGTAACGGCCTATCTATATGGTTCCCTAGATTCTGATATTTATATGAAAATTCCCGATGGATTTAAAATGCCAAACTCTGGCGCTCCTCGTGAGCTGCACTCAATCAAATTACAGAGATCATTGTATGGTCTAAAGCAATCCGGTCGCATGTGGTATCATAGATTGAGTGAATACCTTATCAGGGAAGGTTATAAAAATGATCCTATTTGCCCATGCGTTTTTATTAAAAGATGAGAAACCGGATTTGCTATTATTGCGGTTTATGTAGATGACATGAACCTCATTGGCACTCCTGAAGAGTTGGCCAATGCTGCTGAATATTTAAAGAAAGAGTTTGAGGTCAAGGACCTTGGAAAAACCAAACTCTGTCTTGGTATTGAGCTTGAGCATAAAAATAACGGCATACTTATACACCAATCTGCATATACTAAACGAGTGCTCAGAAAGTTTAATATGGAAAATTCCAATTCATTGAGCACCCCTATGGTTGTGCGCAATTTAGATCCTGAAAAGGATCCGTTCCGACCTAAGGAATTTAATGAAGAAATACTTGGCCCTGAAGTGCCGTATCTAAATGCTATCGGAGCGTTAATGTATTTAGCACAATGCACTCGACCTGATATCGCTTTTGCGGTAAATGTGCTTGCGCGATACAGTTCTGAGCCTACCCGGAGACACTGGAATGGTGTTAAACATATTTTTAGATATCTCCGTGGTACTGCAGATTTGGGATTATTTTATTCAAAGAATGCAACTAACCAAGGGTTAATTGGTTATGCCGATGCGGGATATAGATCTGATCCCCATAAAGCTCGCTCACAAACTGGGTATTTGTTTTGTTATAATGGTGCAGGTATATCTTGGCGATCTACCAAACAGACATTGGTGGCCACCTCCTCAAATCATTCAGAAATAATAGCCCTTTATGAAGCAGGGAGAGAATGTGTTTGGCTACGATCCGTTATTTCCCATATACGAAATTCCTGCCAATTACATCCAGTTACAGACACGCCCACAGTCATTTACGAAGACAATGCTGCTTGTATAGCGCAAACAAGGGGCGGATACATAAAAGGTGATAGGACCAAACATATATCACCAAAGTTCTTCCACACACATGAGCTTCAGAAGAATGGAGAGATCGATGTTCGACAAGTTCGCTCATGCGACAATCTTGCTGATTTATTTACAAAGTCCTTACCGACTTCTACTTTTGAGAAGTTGGTATACGCCGTTGGAATGAGAAGAACCAATATGAAGCAAGGTTGACGGCCCATTTCGGAAGCTATATATACTGCTCATTTCAGGGGGAGCAATGGTGCGCTGCACTCTTTTTCCCTTATGACTGGTTTTGGTCCCATTGGGTTTTCCAGCAAAGGTTTTTAACGAGACAGCTTATGCACGTGGCTTGGATTGAGTTATGCACTCTTTTTCCCTTCTGACCGGTTTTGTCCCACAGGGTTTTCCGGCTTGAGGTTTTTAACGAGGCATACATATATTTCACTCATCCAATTTTACAGCCGACGCGACAACAACATACTTAGTCAAGGGGGAGTATTGTAATAATTATTTAATTACTTAGTGACTAAGTTTTGTAATATATATCTAGTAATTGTTTGATAAGGCTTGCTACTACTTGGAGTGCAAGTCTGCTACGTGTTAATAGTTTAGCATGACAAGGCTTTTCCCATTTTTGTATAAATAGGGCCATTTTTCCTAATTGAATACATAACTTTGATTAGAAAAGAAATCTCTCACCTCTCGTATTTATATTCTGTAATTCCATTTTACATTTCAATAGCAGATTTCTCGGTCATTCACTATTCCCTTCCCATATATTATAATAGTGCAGTTCTTATATTATATAATTTATTCTACAACAATATCAAGCCCACCCCGTGCCCCACATTTTTTTAAGTCTAATAGTACCCGCTATTTCAAATCAAAGTGAGACGAGGATCCATCAGAGCAGGTCAAATTCTCATACCTATTTGTCAACATTTTATTGGGTTGAGCTCAGTGCAATTGGTCAAGGCTTTTGTGCTTGGGGTTGGATATCCTATCCTTGTGCTTTCATTATCCCAAAAGTGAAAATACATAAATCCTTGGATATCCTATCCTTGGGCTTTCATTATCCAAAATTACATATATCATTTGAACAACGGTAAATACAATAAACCCTCGTTATATTACTATTCAATTATTTACTAACTAGCAATTTTTTTCCCGGGGATCGTATTTTAAAAGTGAAAAAAATGATCAATTTAATACATAATAAAATAAATATAATACACTATCATAGTAAAATTTAAGAAAGTAGTACTATTCATATTTTATAGGGTTAAATACAAAACACCCCTGTACTATAGACTTTGTATCATTTACCCCCATGTACTACACATAAATACGAAAACCCCCATGTTGTTATATTTTTTTCAAAATCTGACGAAAATACCCCTACTATGCCTATAAATAAAAGGTTTGTTTGATCCATTTTCCACTATATTTTTTGACATTTTTGATCAATTTTACTTGGAAAATTTGATATTTTAATTTTTTTCTTCAAAACATTTAATTACTTAGATATTTTTGTTATTTTCTGAACAAAACCTTTTATTTTTGTCATTTTGAATTTCTTTTTTTTTTTCTTTGATGTCTTTCAGTAGTTCATATTCTCAACAATAATATGACTGTAAAGATGTTTGTAATCTTAGGATGTTTGAACTACCAGAAGAAATTTAAGAAAAAAAAATGAAGAAACTCAAAATGACAAAAATAAAAGGTTTTATTCCGAAAATTAAAAAATTCTAAGAATTAGATGTTTTGGAGATAAAAAAATATAAGTACCAAAAATTTCCACGTAAAATTGACTGAAAATGATAATATATATATTTGCTTGAGTAGGGGTATTTTCGTCATATTTTGGAAAAAAATGTAATGTGAGGGGGGTTTTTGTATTTATGCGTAGTACAGGGGGTATATGATACAAAGACCATAGTACGGGGGTGTTTTGGTATTTAACCCTAGTTTATATAACATTAGTTTTTATACGGAGTAAACTGCAAAAAGTACTCATTTGTAATCTCTAAATAGTACACTTGGCACATTTATCATTTGAGTGTTGACTTCATATAAAAAGACACAAATACCCCTGGTATTCTGCAATTAATAAATTCTTATATTTTTTAAATATTTTAATTATTTTATTTTTGTTATATCTTAATTTTAAATGTACAATGGGGTCTTTAATTTTTTTTTTATTATCACATAGTTTTTGTATATATTTTAAATTATCGCTACATCAAAAAAATATTTAAATTCCGTTATTGTATATTTAAAAAAATCTATACTTAATTTGATTAACAAATTTTTAATAATTTTTAAATTTAGTTATTTCTTATTTTTTAACAATATATTAATTTCTAAAAAATCAAATTAAAAGGAAAATATATATACATATAAATACATTTTAGGGACAATTTCGTCATTTCACGTCCAAAAACCTACTACGGGTTTGCCTTTGACTAAATTTCACAGGAGAGTTTTTGCTAGTTTATTTGTCACAGGGGGTTTTTGCTATTTGCAAATTACACAGGGGTATTTTTTGCAGTTTACTCATTTTTTTATGCAGTAAGATTTATAATCCAAACAAATTGGGTTAAGATTTGACAAATCGAATTTCTATCTTTATCTCTTA